TTTTAAAGTTAATATAATGCTGCACTTAAAATATTGAGGTTGGTTTACCCAAACATTCTGAGTTTTAATTGGCAATGTTTAGGACATGGAAATCAACCTGGACTAATAGTTCTAAGAGAGTTGTTAGCAAAATCCAGGTTTACAGTTTTGTCTCAACTCCTGGATCAGCCATTATCAGAAAGATCTTTTTGGTCTCTGTGCATCCTAAAGAGAACTTTATTAAATATTTTGTTTAATTTAGGTAAATAAAATATTATTTATGTAATTTAGGCAATACCAAGATGATGAAAGGACTTCGTTCTTTCAAAACATGAAGGCACATGATTGTGTATACTAGAGAAATTAATTGACTCAGCAGTAAAGAATCAAGCTGTCTCAGGGGCCCAGCCAGGACTGAGGTATTACAGAATTGTGTAACTTCTAGGGGGAAACAACTAGGGAAAATGATGACAAAACAAATTATGTATAGGTCACGTAACAGCTGTCTTCACTATCTTAAGTCACCTCCATGGTGAGAAACTCGACTTATTTTTGTAGCTGCAAAGAGGAGCATGGGATCTGTGTTATAGAAGTAATAACAGAGACAGTGTGTGCAACCTAAGAAAGTGCTTTAAGAGAACCAGGGCTCCTCGATCATGAAGTGAACTAAACGTAAGAGAAGAGACCTAGACGGAACCAGATTTGATGATTTGCAAAACATTTCCACAGAATTCTAAGGTGCTCTGGTGGCATAGTAAGTTGTAAGTCAGGCTGCTAACTACAAGGTCATTAGTTTGCAACCACCAGCCCCTCTGCAAGAGAAAGATGAGGCTTTCTACTCCCAAAAAGAGTTACAATCTCAGGAACCCCCTGGACAGTTCTACTCTGTTTTATAGGGTCACTATAAGGCAGAATCAATTTGATGGCCATTAGTTTGATTTTTGGAAGGATTCTGTATCTCCTTGGAAGTAGCAAGTAGCAAAAGCTTGTTACCACCAAGCTCCATTATCATCTGCTTTTATTGGACTTCTAAACTTGAAACTCTGACTGAGAAGGCAACTTAACAGTTATTTGTGTTTCAGATCTATACTCAATTTTGTGTCAAAGTTTAAAAAAATAGGCCTTTTAATACTTGTATGGAGGAGATCCGTGAGGCACTGATTCTACCCTTAAAGTTGAAACTGAGTCTTAGGGTTAGAGGAACAGTTTAGATGTTGCATATCCCAAACCATCTTCTAAATGGGTCCTGCAGATCTAGGAATTATTGGCTTTGCACATTCTAATAAACTCCTTAAATCTCTCTGAAATTCAGTTTCCTTGTCTGTAAAAATTAGATGGAGAAGACAATAAAGCATGCCTTCCCTACCTCCCGTGAGGCTCAAAGGGTCATGAAGCAAACTGAAGAGAGAATGCATGTGAAAACGCTTAATGTATTTTCAAACACCGATTAGCATAACCTATAATGCTCATTAATATTCATTCTTTGTTTTCTTCTCATTCTGGAATAGCTTTGACACCCAGGAATAGAACCATACATGTTGTGACCGAATTTATCCTCCTGGGTTTCTCTTGTCAAAGGGAGACTCAAAACATCCTGTTCTCACTAATCCTCCTGGTCTACCTCCTGACCCTGCTGGGGAATGGAGCTATTGTCTGTGCAGTGAAATGGGACAGGAGGCTGCACACACCTATGTACATCCTCCTGGGAAATTTTGCCTTCCTAGAGATCTGGTATGTTTCCTCCACTGTACCAAACATGCTGGTTAACATCTTCTCTGAGACCAAGACCATCTCTTTCTCGGGCTGCTTCCTCCAATTCTACTTCTTTTTCTCACTGGGTACAACCGAGTGTTTCTTCTTGTCTGTTATGGCCTATGATAGGTACTTGGCCATTTGCCGCCCACTGCACTACCCCTCTATCATGACTGGAAAGTTCTGTGTGATCCTGGTCTGCATTTGCTGGGTGAGTGGGTTCCTCTGCTATCCAGTCCCCATTGTCCTTATCTCCCAACTTCCCTTCTGTGGACCCAATATCATTGACCACATCGTGTGTGACCCAGGTCCATTGTTTGCACTGGTCTGTGTTCCTGCACCATCTACTGAGCTTATCTGCTACACCTTCAACTCCATGATTATCTTTGGGCCCTTCCTCTCCATTTTGGGGTCTTACACACTGGTGCTCCGAGCTGTTCTGCGTGTTCCCTCTGGAGCTGGTAGAACTAAAGCTTTCTCCACATGTGGGTCCCACCTGATGGTGGTGTCTCTGTTCTACGGGACTCTTATGGTTATGTATGTGAGTCCAACATCCGGGAACCCAGCAGGGATGCAGAAAATCGTCACTCTGATATATTCAGCAATAACTCCACTATTAAACCCCCTTATTTACAGTCTACGGAACAAGGACATGAAGAATGCTCTAAAGAAAGTCCTGGGATTGAGAACTGGCCAAGGCTGAGACATCTTTTTTTTTTTTTTGGACCTTTTTTCCATTTTTTAAAAAAAAATATTTTATTCAGGGCTCGTACAGTTCTTTTTTTTTT